AAGGGGGGAGGGCAACCCAGACCAGCAAGTGTTCAAGAAACGAAGACTGCGCGGGGTTCAACAGGGTGCACCCGGTCAAGACACGAAACCTTCGTTAACGACGCTACCCTTCGCCGTTGAGATCTTCTGCACTCTCAGCGACGCACACTCTCTTACAGGACCACGGACGCGGCTAAAACAGGCTGTTCTGCGTCAAATTGTTCTGTCCTCCCTACCAGAGTCGAGCCCGTGCGACCCGGTACCAGCAGTTTGGTTGGCCTTCCCTATCATGCTGCTGCGCGACGTCGCTACAGCGCGCCCTTCTGCCCTACACCCCGCCGCGCCACGCCCGCCGTCGCTACTGCAGCCTCCACCCAAACACCATCGTTGGCGCAGCAATGCTTCATTTCACCCCTCCCCAGTTGTCTCTGTTCGACGGGCGTTCACCGTGTCGCAGGCAGCGGGCGGTGCCACCGCTCACTACGCGGCGGAGGTACCCTCACCCTCGCCCTCACCCTCCGGCCCAGCTACTCCACTCGCCCACGGGTGCACCCGAAGAGCCCACCGAAGCCAAACGCATCTGCGCCTCAGAGCAAGATACCAATGTCATCGGCCCACCCGGGTACTCCATACTCTTGCCCTGCTGAGGGATGATCCACGGGGCCTCTGCTCTCCGTGTCTCGTTCGAGTTGGGCAAGTGTACGGGAACCCGCCCCGGTACCTCCCGAGGACGACGGCGCTGTATCAACCAGGGCCCCCGCACCCTGAGCCCCCCTGAGGAATGAACACGGGGGCCAACCCCCTCCGTGATTGTTCGGGGCTGCCAAGGGTTCGGGAACCCACTTAGCTGCCATCTTTGAGGACACTGGGTTTGCAACCGGAAACCGGGATCAGCATGTATGCTCGGCATCGTGCCCCGGTGGAAGGGCCTGGTAAATAGAACGACTCCGGTCGGATCTAAACCTTTGGGCCAAAAGTGGCCTTGCGGGTCGTCAAGTCAAGTCAAGTCAAGTGGCGGGTCCCCGGGGCCCGCGGGGAGGAGCGC